CGAAATATAAAAGCAAAATCTGATTTGAGAAGATCAAAAAAACTGATAAACCCTCTCAATAGATTGATCCTCATTAAAAAAAAATTAATATTAGGAATGATAGAGGACATCACTATAGATCTTATATGTTAAAAGGATAATAAAGGAATATAAGTAATTTTATGCCAATAAATTCAACAACTTAGATGAAACACAAATTCCTTTAAAGACCACACAAAAACACCTCACTCAAAAATAAATGAGTAACCCTATATTAATTTTTAAAGTTGAATTTGCAGTTAAAAAAAAAAAAACTTCAGGTCCAAGTGACATTACTGGGGAATTTTACTTAACATTTACTTAACATTTAAAGGCAGACATGCCTTCAGAAAATTGAAGAGAAGGACACAATTCCCAACTCATTAGGTCAGCATAATCCTTATGCCAAAACCAGAAAGCATTACAAGAAAACTACAGGCTGATTTTAAGGCATTTAATCAAGTAGCCACACATGCTGAAATGAAATTGAAAAATGCCGAAGGTTGGGAGACCAATTAGGAAGCTACAAAAATAGTCCAGACTAAGAGGACCTAACCCAAAAAAACTGACTGCTATTGAGTGGATTCTGACTCATAGCAACCCTTTAGGGCAGAACAGAATTGACCCACAGGGTTTCCAAGGCTGTAATCTTTACGGAAGCTGACTGCCACATCTTTCTCCCATGGAGAGGATGGTGGGTTCGAACCACCAACCTTTCAGTTGGCAGCTGAGCACTTTAACCACTGTGCCACCAGGGCTCCTAGACTAAAAAGAAAAGGGATTTAATTCTACTACCATAATCACCTTTCTGATTTCTGTAACAAAGAATCATGTCTGATACAAGGGCATGTGTATATTGTAGAAAAAATGCAGAATTGGGAGACTTCGCATCAGTGATTGTAGGTAGAGTCAAGACAAAAGTTAATGGTGCAAAGAGAAACTGGAAAGATGGTAGTTCCGGTGAAAAATAAACAGCTGAGGCAGACTTGGGATTGAAAATTGTTATGTTTGGTTTGGAAAAGGATGAGTTTGTGACGTTAGTCCATCCAGTGCATATTGTACTAGCCAATACAGTATTCAGTGAGTTCTTCCTGCCAGGTGCTACAGTAATCAGTAGTTGCAAACTTAAGATTATAGCTCTCAGCACTAGAGGTCATACCTATACAATTGGTTCTGTTTACCAACTCTGATTATCATACTCTGGCTATTACTACATTAAATTTTTTTTTTTTTTTTAAAGAGAATTAACTACTCTTCTTTTTCGGTGGCTCTTAGGATTTTTTTTCCAAGGCAAGGATAATTTTATAAAAACAGTATCTACTATAATCATACTACATAAGAGGTTAACCCACCCACTGCCCAGTCAATTCCAACTCGTAACAACCCTATAGGGCAAGGTAGAACTGCCACATCTTTCTCCAGCGGAGCAGCTGGTAGGTTCAAACCAGACTTTTCAGTTGAACGCTTAACCACTGCACCACCAGGGCTCCTACGTAAGAGATGGTTGTTGTTTTTCTGCTGAGTCAATTCTGACTCATAGCTACCCTACAGGACAAAGTAGAACTGCCCCACAGGGTTTCCGAGGCTGTCGTCTTTGTAGATCACCTGGTCTTTTCTCCCACAGAGTTGCTAGTGTGCAAGGCTTCAAACTGGTTTGCTCCAGTTGGAAGCCCTGCTGAAAATTTGCATTTCTAACAAGTTTCCTGCTAAGAATTTACATTTTCATCCCAGAAATATTGAACCAGAATCTACATTTTAATAAGATCTCCAGGTGTTTCTTATGCATGACTTTCTGGGAACTTGATAGAAATGCAAATTCTCAGCAGAGGCTCAAACTGGAATGAACCAGTTCGAAGCCCTGCTGGTGATTTTCAACCACCAATCTTTCAGTAAGCAGCCTAGTGTTTAACCATTGCACCACCAGGGCTCCTACTTAAGAGGTTATTAGCAATCTTTCATACAAAGTTAACGCAACTTGGGAGATTTTTACCTGGGAATCTTCATCAATGCAGCTGCTACTCCAACCTAGCATTCCTCTCAGAAGTCCTGTGGAGAGGGGCACACACAGAGAAGCCCTAACCCACTATAGGCAAGGGCACAGATTTTAAGACCTTCCCTTCCCACCCCTCAACCCCATCCCCACTAAAACACATTAGGAAACCGAAATGGCTCTGTGGCCCCTAGCCACAAAAGACAGCTAAAACAGCTGGCCAACACAGAGAAATCAATTTGCATAGTCTCATCATCTCTGCCATCTGTTCATACAGGCTTCTAAATTTGTATACCTGACAGGTAATTTATTTTTTTAAAGAGGCACTTTTGACTAATTGGCTGTCTCACTTAAATGACCATCCTGAGCACACAACTCATTCACCAAATGAAGAGTTACACTTCTGATAAAGAGGGAGGAGGCATTCCCCTTGCTGTTAAAAGCCAGACAGTGACAATTTTCGTTATACAAATAACCCTAGTGGGCAAAAGGGAGATTCAAAAAGGAGCTATCACTTAGTAGAGCACTACAAAATTTTTAACATGCAAGGCCTTGACTAGAGTTGTTACCACACAACGTAGATTGCTCAATGCTTAAAAACCACAATCTTAGTAATAATTCGAACTAAGTCTACAGGTAGTGAAAATAAAAAATATTTAAATGCGTAAGGAACATATGGTCACTGCATTTGTTTTTACTTTGTGAGAATGGCTCAATGGAAGTACCTATTATCACTTTTCCATTATAAAAATAAGCTGTAAATATTCAATTAATTGCCTCAGAAACAGGTGAAATTACTACTCAACAGTGGCAAGATTTTAAGATTTTCATTTTATTAAAAATACGGCAACATAATAGCAGCATCATTTAATAAATCTTTTTTTACTAGTACCATTTAAAAGTAGCCCTATTCACATAAACATCCAACATCTATGCAGCATCTTGATGCTTACATATCAACTCTTCCCTTGATTATTCATAGCATTATGTAAAGAAGAGCACCATTCTACTATACTAATCAAGATTAAAGAGGGCAATGATTTAACTATTAAACTGAACTACCTGTACAGTTGTGGAAATCAGGGAATTCTTCAGGTTATTCCCAAAGTTTGTGGCTTACCAGTACTCTTCAATTCTTTCAATATGATTTTCATGAGTTTAAACTTACGCCTACAGTTAAATTATCTGTCTAGCAAATAAAAATCAAGAATGGAAGGAACTGTTATTCCATTCCTGGGAAAATAAAGTCTTAGAGGTAAAATGTGTTAGTTTATTTAATTGCTAGAAACTATAAAAATAGAATAGAATGAAAAGAGATATTCTTATTAGTTAGTAAATTTAACTTGATTGAAGATGGGCCAAAACTATTTTTATTTTTAAAATAATAATTCTTAGGCAAAATCACCCATAAAAATGTATTTAAAAAAAAATCATCCACAATTCAAGGTTAAGTAGGGAAGTCTATTTTATTTCAAAAGATTACTTTATTACTTGTCTACTGGACTCCTGCTTCCAGAAATGTTAGCCCTTTAAGAGCATTGTCTGAAATTTGAAAATAAACAATTTAGAGTGAATATATTAGTAAATTAAACATGAAAAAATACTTATAGGCAGTGAAAATAAAAATTATTTAAATGCATATGGAACATATGGTCACTGCATTTGTATTACTTTGTGGGAATGGCTTCATTTCAGAACCCATCCAGTTAAAATCAGATATTATCCTTTAATGAAAACATAAAAAATGACTCACTGAAATGTTAAAAGTTACTCATCCCTCTGAAAGGATTCATTTTAACTGCAAGCTAAACAAAGATATAAATCTTTTAATTTCTAATTTAAAAAACCCAAATTTTTAAAAGCCTATTACTATATACACATAATCATTAAATCTGAATATCTTCAGTTGAGAACAAGCTGGGATCAGGGTTCATTTTTATTTATTTTTAAGATAAAGACACCAACATATGTATGTATACACATATATATATGAACAACTGAGGATCCTGAAAAAGAAATTTTCTTGACCAAAAAAAAACTCTGATTATAACGACAGTCTTTATTTTTTAATTATGTTAAAATTTAAGTCTCTGACACTTCTGAAGATCAACACAGTCTATGTTGAATTTCTTCAATAAAAGAATTCTGAACATGGGGAAAATCACAAGCTGACTACTGTTTGCAATTATAAATCATTAGTTTAGATGGAAAATCATAACAACTAAGGAAGATAGTTGCAGAAGTTAAGAACTGGTATTTATAGGCTTGTTTTCACACATGACACTGACTGGATAGCTTATGAAGAACCATACTGTATTACCAGTTCAGTGTGTGTTGCTGAAAAGGAAGAAGAGCACCAACAGAATCTGACTAGAATGATGACTAGCAGCTACAATCTAAGGAATAGAGCGTACTCTCTGCATAATCAAGCTAAAAATAATTAGAGAAGGTATTAAGTATAAAATGGCTGTGTTCTTGACCTCACCTCAAATTTTCCAGACAATATCCACCTGGGATGAAAAAGAATAGTCTTTAAAAAAACAACCAAATAAATAAAACATCTTGAAAGAAAATAATAAACAAATGGAAACATATCAGCTCTTAGAAAATAACTCTAGACCCTACAAAGCTTTGCTTCCATAAGCCCATATTTAAAAAGTCAAATCTCATGTAATAATCCTAGTCCTTTTCCAGATCTCTTGTATCCTATTTATCCTCAACTTCTAAGTCCACGTCTTTTAAGATTGGTATGATCATCTTAAAGCTGAATAAGTATCACCAGCAAGAAAAATAATTAACAGCAGGAATCAAATTAAATATGTTACCTACCAACATAAGAAACATTTAATAGAGTCCAAATACAAGAAAATATTTAAACTTTAAATGATTGTTTTATAGACACAAACATGCACTTCATGTTAAAACAACCTCTGTGCCAATTAAAATGAGAGCAGGATGAAACAAACGCTTTTTTGAAATACATAAACAAATATTTCCTCTAAAATACTTAGCTTTATTAAAGAAATGGTACTAAAAATAACAAAGATTCAAACAACATTTTCTCTATTCTACTTACATATCATAAATAAGATAGCTATTGATGCAAGACACACACTCCTTCACAATCTTTCCATATGCATCCAAGCATTCTTGTATCAGAATAAGCTGTTTACTAGCCAACCGCATGTGGTTGAATGATTAAAATGACCGTCTATACTTTACATAGTAAAGCATTTTCCAAAATTTTAATGTATACAGTGACAAAAAAAAAAAAAACACAGTAATTCTGAACACACGAGTGATTAAGCAGCTTCATAATCAAACCAGGCTTCATTGCAATAAGGACAATTCTCCCCATTCTCCATTAAACACTTAAGTTTCAATAGTATTAACATTAAATGAAAAATCAAGTTGAAACCAAGTAACTAACATACTACTCAGCTTTTTAAATCTATAAAAGTAACTATTCCCATGAGGTAAGGCAACTGAGTAATCTGATTGTATTAGGTTGCATTAAAATAATTATACTTGATTTTTTTTTAACAACACGCTAATTAAAAGATACTACTTTTTCGGTAATATAACAATAATGAAAAGAGTTCTGAAACCATGAGTTATAGTTTTGAGGAAAAACACTGGCAATGTTGTCATTTTACCACTTACATACTTTCTGCAAAAAGTGAGCCTAAGAAGGATGGATGACCTGTATTTTAAACTCAAGTAAACATATTCTTAAACATAAAACAAGTAACCTCACATATACTCCTAGTCCTCCCTTTAGGTATAATTTCTGCACATCATTTACAAGAAAATGATTTAGAGGTAATAATTAAGGCCATCCAATGTAGATAACTAAAAGGTTTCCTCTGATTTAAGAAAAATAAGAACGTGCTTCATTTTCAATTATCACAGTATAAAACTGATGGTCCCAAAACTGCATTTTTGTTTCAAGCTCTAAAGTCATTCTTGAAAACAAGACTTCCCTCTCATATTAGGTAAGCTAAGTAAGCTCTTCTGACATGTCAGTTGCACACTTCTCTATGGGTGTGAATGGAATATCCATCTAGGTTCCATATGAATTGAGAATGACTAGCACATATAAAATTTCAGAAAACAGTATACCACATTTTAGAAGGCACTAAAGCTTCAGCTTGTGCTCCCATAGCGCACTTTGAAAACCCAGTTTCCTTTCTAGAAGGGCACCTTTGCCACCTACAGCTGACAAGACACACTGCAATATTATTCATAGTAAGCTTGGAAATGTCAAGGAAGTTCAAATAGAAATGCTCACTCTGTGGGGAGACCCAATGATTCTAAACACTGAATACTAATACATTATTATTAGTATTCAACACGGTTGCTCTTCCTTTTGCAATAGAACAGTAGCATGCATTGTCAGTTGTTTTCTAATCCACATATTTAAGCAATTTTAATCTGTAAAACTATTTTAAAGAAAAACTGCTATCCTAAACAGTGAGCAAAAGAAAACACAATAGTGAGAGTTTAACACAATCACTGTAAATCCTGTGAAGTAAATGTTAAAACTTCTTACATACTTTGCACTTACAAGGGTGTGTATATATTTGCACTGATTTCAAGCACATCATCAAACTGTATATAATGAAATTTTCAAAAAAGTAAAACAATACAAAATAACTAGCGTTTTTTCGAAAGAGCCTCCAATGCTTATCTCCAGTCTTTATGGATAGTACAAATTTGGATCTTTGATGTCCCATTTATTTGCAATGGTTCTTGGCAAACACTAACAAACCACATGACAAGTGTGTCAGCCACCACAGAAATGCACAGATTTTAGAAGATGAAAAGTTTGGGTAACATCTGTTATTTTCATGATGTCCATGCTTTCTTACTCAGTTAACAAGATGGCTACAAAGTCACCTAACAACCAAAACAGCTGTTAGCTCAGATCTATATGTTCAACTGGATTTCTTCACTGTTTACATCTTGTTGAGAGAATTAGAAGCTTTGGATTTTCATCCAGCGTTGAGTTTAGAGGTGTATTTGTCAGTCCTATACTACTTCTGTTTTAGCAGAGAGGTTTTCTTCATTTGGCTGACAGTTTCCATTCTGCTGTACTTTGTTTTCCTCAGTCCTTGGGGCATCCTTGTCATCTGCTTCTTTGCCTACACTTGAATCTGGTTCTTTATTGTGCTCTTTCTCCTACAATGAATATTAAGGTATACATTTAATATTTTCCTCAAGAATTGCCAGCTAATACATTTGGTTGTGTTTAAAATGTGCAACTTTGTTTTTTGGTGAATTAATAAAATTGGGTATTTTTTCCCATTATATTTTCATATAAAAAGAATATGCAAACCCATGCCAACTTGCGCTCTGTACCTCTCATAAAGATGGACAATCCATGAAAATTAATTTAGAATGAAATAGGTAAACAGAAATTCGAAGGAAGGGCTTGATAAAGTAGAATGAATCTTGCTGAAAAGAGTGAGACAGTTCCCAAAGATGCCAAAATAGATTTGTCATCTGGATATAAAAGATGCCAACATTAAAGGAACGTGGGAAAGAAGTCACTATTCCTTCTGCAAAGACTGTTCAAGAACAGCCCAAATTCTGCCCTCAGTTTAAGGAAGAATTAAATGAGGACATGCAGAATAGTACCTGGCACATAGTAATGAGCAATGAATGTTATTATTAGTGATGATGATGACAAACCTCTACCAGTATGAGAGTTAATAAAACTGTAAGATGAAGCTCCAGAACTTACAACTAGAATGATTTCCATATACACTTCACCAGTAAAATAAGGAAAATGATATCATGTGGAAGAACTTAAAATAAAATAAATAAATAAAAAACCTCTAAAGCATAGATGAGCAGTTTGGGAAGCAGTGAGACTGAATTCATGGGAGTGAAACTACTAGAATGGAAATTATGAGAATGCGGACACAAACTGAAGAATGTGACCAACGTCATTGAGTATTATGTGTAGAAACTGCTGAATGGAAACCTGTTTTTGCTATGTATACATTCACCAAAAATACAATTAAAATATTTAAAAAAAAATTTTTTTAAAAAAAGCTTACTTGGTGGTTTGGTTTTCCATTAACTATCCTAATCCAGCAAACCTAATTTTAAGTATATATTCCAAAATTACAATAGAATGTCTGTTCAAATCTGCTGATAAACAAATATATTGAGAAAAATGGCATCAAATAAAAATCTTACCATTATAAAATCAAATACATCCATTATTTATAGGTTATCTAAAAATGTTCTTATTGTATGCCCTTCATGGACTCTCAAATAAGGAATGTAATTGTTTAAATTTTAGTTGGCTCTTATCTCTTCCCTTCAAAAATCTAGTGTAAAAAAATTATCAATTTAACAAATATTAAAGATACCAACAATGTACAACACACTGTTGCTCTCTGAAAGAGCTTTTAGTCTAAAAATATTTCTATGCAATAAACAATCTCAATTATTAATTATTTAAAGCCCAGACAATGAAAGACCATTGCTTACTTTAAGTGAGGTACTGTTCTTCTCCAACTTCTCCTTTCCATCTCTGTCATTAGAACTCTTTCTTGTAGAGGCTGAACGTTCTCTCTCTCTTCTTTCACTGATGTGGTCCCTTTCTTTTTCTCTCTTTTTATCTTTCTTATTTCTGCTTTAAGAATATTGATAATATATGTCAATTAACTTCTAAAATATTAAATACCTATTTATATTTTTGACAAAATATTCTCATCTAACAGAGTATCTTAAATAACTGGTTTGACCAGTAACATATAAATGAGTCCTATAACTCCACCTACTTAAAAATAGCCAATCAATTAACCCTACTTCCAATTAATTTTTTAAAGCTAGACAAGTCATTTCTGTAGAGGCCACCATGTGCTTACACAAAATATAATTTTGTATTATCAATCTGTTAGTTTTAAAATATTCAAGGTTTACTGAGCTACTGTAATTGGGAAAAAATAAAAACAAAATATAGTGTTTTCTTATAAACCTTTTCAAAGCATTAAATGAATAAGCAGAAAGAAACAAAAAGGACAAAGAATCACATGTGGCCCTCAAGCGGGGCTGAATGACTAATAGCAAAGTTTAGAATTGCAAATAACCTATTTGTGCCGCCTGCCCATTACAGAGTACTACAAATTCAAGAACAAAGTTTATGCAGAAGATGGAATGAGTAAAAAGCTCCATTAAAAAACAAAAACAAAAAACTCTTATAGAAGGGATAAAACTTGATTTCATATCAGAAGCACAACAGATAAAACAGCCATAATATAGGATTCTATGCTTTTCTCTCTTAATTATGAATAGTTTAAAAATAGATACAAACATCAGTGGAACAAATTAAGTTTCAGGCAGTTAAGGAACTCTTTATCCAATCATTTGCTGATGGCTAAGCTAACTGAGCAGAGACTTCAGCGGCCACACACAACAAAAAACAGACTGTTAAAGACTGAACTGTGTCCCCTAAAAAAGACCTGGAGTCCTAATCCTTGGTACCTATAAAGGTGATCTTGTTTGAAAATAGGGTCTTTGATGATGTCATCAGTTAAATTAACATGAGGTCATACCAGAGTAGGGTAGAGCCTAATTCCGTGTGAGTGACGTCCTTATAAAAGAGGACAACATACAGAAACAAGAGGAAGTGATGTAATGTTGCAGCTACAAGCCAAGGAAAGCATGGAGCTACCAGAAGCTAGGACAGAGGCATGGTAACAGAGTGTCCCTAAAATTCTCAGAAGAAATCAACATAGCTGGCACCCTGGTCTCGGACTCAGCCCCCAGAACTGTGAAACAATAAATTTCCGTTGTTTGAAGCAGTCCACTTCATGTTATTTTGTTTCGGCAACCGCAAGAAACTAATATAGTTTGGTACCAGAATGAGTGCTGATACAACAAATACCTAAAAATGTGGAAATGGCTTTAGAATTCGACATGGGTAGAGGTTGGATGAGTCTTGAGATCCTTAAGAGTAAAAGCGTAGACTGCCTTGAAGAAATTATGGAAAGATGTCCTGGTACAGTTAAGTAACAAAATCAAGTACAGAACAGTATATATTCTATGCTATCTTTTGAATAAGAAATATGAAAATAAAAATTTAAATCATCATTTTGTGTCTCTGTACAAAAATCAAAGGATATAGAAACAAACTAGTAAGAATTGTAACTTATGGAGACAGAGTAGATGGCACATGGGTAGAAGTAAGGCTTCTCAATGTATAACTTTTTATATTGTTTTGATTTCTGAACCGTGCAAATGTATCACTCATTCAAAATATAAAGTTTAAAAAATAAATTGAACAGGGAAAAATTCTTGGTAATTTTTAAAATTCCTACCTCCTCCTCTTTAGTTATAGTACATGCTATGCTTTCGACTTACCTCCTAGGGGATGGAGACCTAGAAGATTTCCTTTTTATGGTTTTTGATGTTCTAGGTGATCTGGAAGAACTCCTGCTCCTCCTCCTACGCCTTTCCCTGAGAGCCAAAGACATTATCATTTTTAAAACAAACAGCAATTGAAATAAAAAGCAATTCAAATATACAAAAAGCAAAAGGGTCCTTAATGATCTCAAGAGAATGGTATTCTTTAGAGGCCAGTTGAAACTCATGTCCTTTATAAGCACATTTTATTATCTAATTTTGGTGCAGATCAAATTATGGAACACAAATTTTAGACTTAAAATCTTCTGAGACTTCATGTTAGAAAAGTTAGAGGGTCTCCTTTTCATCTGGTTTATCTGGACAAGAATTTCCTGAATAGTAAAAATAATAATGGATGCTTCATTTTTCTCTTAAGTTAAATACGTTCGTCCTCAGCATCTAAAACATGTTTTGTTTATCAGATTCTTTGTCAAGCATTTGGCTACTTGCTGCCCCACTGTGGATTATTTTATAACAAGGTAGCAGGCCCTTGTCAAGAACTGAAAGATAAGTTAGCTTGCACAATGTGAACTTTCCAGACACAGGTATTTCCCTCCAGTCTCCTACCATTTCATGAATGTTGTTCTATTAATTTAAAATTAAGTGCACAAGTTTCTTAGATATATTTAAAATAGCTAAAATCTGGGATTTAAATATGACAAAGTAAAAATTAACCATGTTTATTTTATCAAAACTGTTTTGCTTAACATATTAGAAAATGATGCAGATGCTAAACTACTTCATTTCTAAGGCTGGTCAAAGAAATAATAAACTTCACACCATGTCCCTAATTCAAGGGATGAGGTGTGAGGATATATTTATTAAATGATTAATGCATTCAATAATCTGACACAGAACTCTGATAATCAGTGGCCAGATGGCTGAAAGAACCAAATCCTCTGGAATTCAAGTTCTCCTTACCACCTCAGTAAATTGATTCTAGGCCAATATAACACTTGTCTAAGTTTTCATCTGTAAAGTAAAAAACAAAATAATGCTCAGATATGTGGTAAATATATGGCAGGTGTTAAAAAGACAAAAAAGTTCAAGAACTCTAAGTACACAAATAAATCAACTCCAGCTTTACCTAAGGCTCTCTCAATCATTACCTACTTTTATTTCCAAGATATCCAAAATTATACTCCCTGACTAATGTGGAAATTAGATCACGTATTCTATTCAATCAATGTCATTCTCTAACAGCTAGCATAAGAACCAAAAGTACTTTTTTCAAAGCATCACTGGTATCCCCAGACTTTAACTCTGCCTTGATCAGTGTAACTCTTCACTTATTTATTCAGAAAGTACTATGTACAGGTGAACATTAACAACCACACTTGCTGATAAGAACGGTGGATAGACAGCAATCTAAACTATCAATTACTTGAGAGAAGTTGTGAGCTGTTGTATAAAGAACATGGAAAGTGGAGTTGATTAGACTTAAGACTTAAATTTTAGTTCCAAACCTTAATAACTGCACAACCGGTGCTGTATTATTTAACCTGAGTCTCAATTTTTTCAAATGGAAAATAGAAGTAATTAATGTTTACCATTTACTAAACAAATCAGAGCATGTGAAAAGCAGAAAAATGCTAAAAGACAAGAAAGTAACTCTTTGACAAGCTCTTCTGAAAGCATGTATCATTCTAAATGGCTGAACCTTTATAAACTAATGTCAGTCATATTCTACAGGCCCCAGAGATTATTTGAGAATATATTTAGGACTGAATGTGAACATCTGAACTTTCTTAAAAGTCAAATGACTTAACAGCCCATGAAAAAATTAAACATTTCAAATCAGCAGAAAAAGTAAATTCAAATTACTAAAAATAAAACATTTCTGGTGTGAATGGCAATGTCTGAACTATCCAATGATAACAAAGGTATATGAGACATACAACAAATAAACTGTGCAGTAAAGATACAGTCATACGGCTCAACTGTTACCCATAGCAAATGAAGTCAGATTAATTTTTCAGTTTTGGTTCAATGCACTGAAAAATCCAGCAGAAATCTATTTTATTTTCATTCCCACTTTAATACATACTGCTGCCTTCAACCTTACGCTCTGAGGCAATTTCTAAAAGCAAGTACCAAGCACTGGTTAGAGAATTCTCAATTAAACTTAATCTCAGAAAAGCAGGGAAAGAGCCATTATACTGCTGATACTAAAGTGCAGAGCAGATGGAAAATTTTCCTCTCACAGCTTCAGTATCCTCAGATTTAAAACAGTAGTACAATAGTCCTCTCTCAGCCTTGTGAGGACTAAACGAAGTTAGGTATGAAAAACTCTACCAAGACACAGTATCTGGCATTTAGAAAAGCACTCAATAAATGCCTACAATTATCTTTTATTAACTAATCAAAGACTAGCAACAAGAATAAACAATTGGTCCTGACAAAAATTCTCAATAAAATAGGTATAAAATGGAAATTTCTCAACATAATAAAAGCCATCTATATCAAACCAACAGCCAACATCATTTTCAATGGAGAGAGGCTGAAAACATTCCCCTGAGAACAGGAACAAGACAAGGATACCCTTTATCACCACTCCTGTTTAATACTGTGCTGGAAGTCCTAGCTACTAGCACAATAAGGCAAGAAAAAGAAATAAAGGGCATCCAAATTGGTAAGGAAGAAGCAAAACTATCCCTATTTGCAGACAGTAAGATACTATACATAGAGAGCCCTAAAGAGTCCATAAGAAAACTACTGGAACTAATAGAAAGATTCAACAGAGTAGCAGGATACAACATAAACATACAAAAATCAGTTGGATTCCTATACACCAATAAAGAGAATGATGAAAAGGAAATCAGGAAAGCAGTATCATTTATAATAGTCCCTAAAAAAAAAAAATACTTAGGAATAAATCTAATCAGGGATGTAAAACACCTATACAAAGAAAACTACAAAACACTACTGCAAGAAACCCAGACAGACCTACATAAATGGAAAAACATACCATTCTCATGGACAGGAAGACTCAACATTGTGAAAATGTCAATTCTACCCAAAGCAATCTACAATGTAAACCCAATCCAAATCCAAAAGCATTCTTTACTAAGATGGAAAAACTAATCATTAAGTCTATATGGAAAGAGGCCCCAGATAAGTAAAGCACTATTGAAGAAAAAGAATAAAGTAGGAGGAATTGCACCACCTGACCTCAGAACCTACTATACAGCTATGGTAGTCAAAACAGCCTGGTACTGGTAAAACGATAGACACATTGACCAACAGAACAGAGTCAAGAACCCATATGTAAATCCATCCACCTATGGTCACCTGATCTTTGACAAAGGCCCAAAGTCCATCCAATGGGGAAATGACAGTCTTTTTAATAAATGGTGCTGGCAAATCTGGACGTCCATCTGCAAAAAAATGAAATAGGATCCATACCTCACACCATACACAAAAACTAATTCAAAATGGAGCAAAGACCTAAATACAAAACCCAAAACTATAAAGACCATAGAAGAAAAAACAGGATCAATGCTAGAGGCCCTAAGACACGGACGGCATAAATAGGATACAAACCATAACTAACAATACACAAACACGAGAAGACAAGCTAGATATCTGAGATCTTCTAAAAATTAAACACTTAGGCTCTTCAAAAGACTTCACCAAAAGAGTAAAAAAGAGAGCCTACAGACTGGGAAGGAATTTTTGGCAATGACAAATTCAACAAAGGTCTAATTCTCTAAAATCTATAGAAAACTCCAACACCTCTACAACAAAAAGACAAATATAAATAATCCAACTAAAAAAGGGGCAAAGGATATGAACAGACACTTCACCAAAGAAGACATTCAAGTGGCTAATGAGACACATAAGGAAATGCTCACAATCACTAGCCATTAAAGATATGTAAATCAAAGCTACAATGAGATACCATCTCACTCCAATCAAAAAAACAGAAAATAACAAATGTTGGAGAGGCTGTGGGGAGATTGGAACTCTTATGCACTGCTGGTGGAAATGTAAAATGGTAGAACTATTTTGGAAAACGATATGGAGCCTCCTTAAAAAGCTAGAAATAGAAATACCATGTGATCCAGCAATCTCACTACTAGGAATATATCCTAGAGAATTAAGAGCCGTCGCACAAATAGACATATGCACACCCATGTTCACTGCAGCATTACTCACAATAGCAAAAAGATGGAAACAACATAAGTGTCCACCAACAGATGAACGGATAAACAAACTATGGCACGTACACACAATGGAATACTACACAACAATAAAGAACAATGATAAATTCACAAAACATCTCACAAATTAATCTGGACGGCACTATGGTGAGTGAAATAAGTCAATTACAAGAGGACAAATACTGTTATAACTACTATTATAAAAACTCACGAAAAGGTTTATACACAGAAAGAAACAATCTTTGATGGTTACTAGGGAGGGGAGGGGTGGGGAGGGAAAAACACTAGACAATAGATAAGTGGTAACTTTGGTGAAGGGTAAGACAGTACATACTTCACTTTGGTGAAGGGTAAGACTGGGGAAATCAGCACAACTTGACCAACGCAAAGTCATGGAAGCTTCATAGACACATCCAAGCTCCCTAAGGGCTCGAATTACTGGGCTGCGGACCATGGTCTCAGGGGACATCTAGCTTAACTGGCATAACATAGTTTATGAAGAGAATGTTCCACATCCTATTCTGGTGAGTAGCATCTGAGGTCTTAAAAGCTTGGGAGCCACCACCTAAGATACTGCACTGGTCCCACCCCATCTGAAGAAAACCAAAGATACAAGGGAAAGATTAGTCCAAAGGACTAATGGACCACAACTACCATAGCCTCCACCAGAATGAGTACACCACAACTAGATGGCACCCAGCTACTACCACCGACTACTCTGACAGGGATCACAAACAGAGAGTCCCAGACAGAGCTGGGGAAAAATGCAGAACAAAATTCTAACTCACAAAAAAAGACCGACTTACTGGTCTGATAGAGAGTGGAAAAACCCCAAGAGTATGGCCCTCTGACACTCTTTTAACTCAGTACTGAAGTCACTCCTGAAGTTCACCCTTCAGCCAAAGATTAGACAGGCCATAAAACAAAACAAGACTAAATGGGCACACCAGCCCAGGAGCAAGGATGAGAAAGCAGGAGGGGACAGGAAAGCTGTTAATGAGGAACCCAAGGTCAAGAAGGGGAGAGTGTTGACATGTCGTGGGGTTGGCAACCAATGTCACTAAACAATATGTGTATTAACTGTTTAATGAGAAACTAATCTGCTCTGTAAACCTTTATCTAATAACAAAACAAACGCGCTGCCATCAAGTAATTAAAAAAAAAAAAACTTGTAAAACTCAAGATAAAAGTAGGAAGACACATTCCCTTTATATCAGAAATTATTTTCTACAAAAAAATCATTCTAAAATACTTTTAAACTTGTTAAAACATTTTAAAAATATTTTTAAGATATAGTTTAACGCAAGTTAGGAACTCCCATTTATTTACAGTCATGGTTATCATCTGGGGAAATGGATGTGGGTTTAGATAATCTTGAATCTGAAGGAAGATCCTCATTTTGCACCTGTTACTATGGCAACTTGCAACCACCTGGTGGGAGTGTACCTGTTAATAAATTGAGGGAATAATCCTAAGAAAAAAGCAAATTCCTTAAAACTGCCAAATAAAAGAGAACCAAAATTTAAATTTCTTGCATTCAACAAAACAGAGATGTAAAAATTACTTAGATGACAAAAAGGACGAACACTTCAAGTCTGAAAGCCATTTTGCATATTAAGATTTATCACATCATTCCAGAGAAATACAGAAGCCTAAAAGGTCAATTCCTCTACATTTTTATAAAAATACTTGCCCGTACCATCCCACACTCCTAGAGAAAAAATAAAAGCAGGATGAAAACAGCAATTATAGAGGACTGTTAAAACTTTTCAAATAACTTTGTCTTTTCTTCATAAATTCAAATATTGTGGCAATCGCAATCTAGATTGCCACAATACTAGAGAAATGTTCACTCTGCAATTAGGGGAAAACTTTCTGCCATTATTGTACTGATTTCCACTTGTATAAGACAATCTCTTCCACTTCAGTTAAAATTTATGCTTTCATTTTGTCATCAGTAAACCCCTTGATACAAATTTTAAGCATTCTCAAACCTGCTGGAACTACGAGATCTTCTTGATGCATTGTAACTTCTGGGTGGTGTTCTGGATTTTTTATCCTTCTTTCTTTTCTCATCTATTTCTCTGGATTTGTCCTTTTCTCGGTCCTTCTCTTTGTCCTGTTCTTTTTCCTTCTCTTTGTCTCGCTCTTTTTCATGCTCTTTTTCCCGCTCTCTCTCTCTGTCCTTTTCTTTGTCTTTTTCCCGATCCTTTTCCCGTTCTTTATCACGGTCTTTATCTTTGTTTTTACCCCGTTCCTTTTCTTTTTCACGTTCCTTTTCCCTCTCTCTCTCTTTTTCCCTTTCCTTTTCTCTATCTTTTTCTTTCACTCTTTCCTTTTCCTTGATCTTTTCTCGAGTGTCTTTTCTCTTGTCCCTTTAAAAACAAAAATAAATACATAAATTTGCAACTAAAATAATTCTACCTCCCCACCTCAGAAAAAGGGTCTCCCTGTCTTTCCTCAACGATTACCAACACAAAGCAATTTGTAATGGCTATAGACTTCATACTTAAATTTCTACATAACTCATGTGTACATGAAGCTATTAAATGAAACAATTAACAGGCTGACTTGAAAAGTTTGGAAGCCTCGTTAGTAATACTAACCATCAAATTCAAATCAATGGCAATCAATATTAATCCTACATTACTAAAACAATCAGAAAAAAAGTTTTATTTCTCTTATTAGAAATCCAAACCACAACAGATTTTTAACAAACCAAGCCAATGAAAAATATCCTTAATTCCCCTAAAACTCACCGTGAACGCGAACGACTCCTTGACTTCCGTCTCTCTCTCGATTTAGAGCGTTTTTTATGCGGGCTCTTAGATCTACGTCTATCCTTCTGTCTTGAACGTGATCTATTATGGGACCTACTCCTAAAGAAAAACAAATTGTTAGAACATCAAAATTTGTTCTTAGAACTTCAATTCTAAAAAATTTAAGATGTCTTTCAAATAAGAATTTTAAAACCTATCCCAATAGTATTTATCAATATTTTTAAATTCCCTATTATATGACACTTCAGTTGGATTCTATTAAAAACATCCATTTATTGAAAACTTTACCAGACATTTCATTGTTCAGAACACAAAGACAGAAACAATGGAAGAATTTATTCCCTATGTCAGACTTAAGTTAATATTTCCAGGTGTGCTTTTCTTTTGCCAACTATTATATGCCTCAAATTAGTGAAATCTCTCCCACAGTCCAAGTTTTCATGTCATAAATTGTCTCTAACTCAAAAGAAAAGAACTTGACTTGCATGTAATACGACTGCTTCTGATTATAACTTATCTTGATAGGGAGTAGTGGTGGTATAGTTCAACAGTTTCTATAAATGGCTGTGTGGTATTTGTCCTAACAAATACATTAAGAACAACGTAAAAGGAAACACAGTACTAATGACAGTACTAGTTGTGACAGGAAAATAAAAATCACTACTTGTGAGTTAAAGCTAGATATAACCAAATGTTGGGTTTGCATTGTCTTGATTTTATAAGTATAAACATACCTATTAAAAGAAACCTTTATTAGTGGAATCCTTGCAGGAAAAACAACTGCTATCCCAATTTTGAAATCCTCTAAGTCCCCTTCTTTCCCGACTGCAATAACTGTTTTCATAATGTGATTTCTCCATAATGAGGTTTCCTAGGAACTATTTATTATCATACAACAAAATGGATTGAACACAACTTAAATAACAAAGTGATTAGACTCACTGGCTTTGGAGTCAACCAACCTGGCCCTGAAGCTCTGCCAAACACTAACTGTGAGAACTTAGGCTAGTTGCTTACCCTCTCTAAGTTTCTTCATCTATAAAGTAGAGTAAAAATCGTATCTACATCTCCTCAGGCTGTCATGAGGATTAAACCTGATGATGTATGTAAAACTGCCTAGAAGTCTTTGGCACCAATGCTCAAAACTCTGAACTCTTGATACTACCATCATCGTTATTAACAATTAATGTAAATGTAAACCTTTAAGCACTGTACTCTAAGGAGGTCAAATGAACTTCCAAAAGTTCGCTTTATATAACTAAAACTCATTTTGATAGTTATATGTTTTTAAGTTAAAATTCAAACATCTATAAAAGAAATACATTATGCTTGTGGTATGCTAGGTAACTAGAAAAATCTCCAGACAATTCTCAATTAATAACAAAATCTTGTTTTTTAAACACAATTTTCAGTTAGCCAAAATTTGTTTTCTAATAGCTAATTTTTAACTGAACTATTTATCTTTTATATGGCTTTAAAATCTGTCTTCCTACCACATTTTTAATACAAGAAGATAATTCACATTTCGTTGAAATCTTTATCACTAGTAACCCAAGAGACAACAAGGGTCAAGTAGTAGGTATTAACGCAAAACTTAGAACATTTTTAGTCCATTTACAGATATACACATAGGGTAACCTTTTAAAGTATCTTTGCTTCTACGTTTCCAGTTAACCTTGTTAAAAGTATAAATAATGCTTTTGTTTTCTTCAAACCACCGATTTTTGATCTTAAACAGAAGATAAGTTCCTTTAAAAAAAAGTAATCATAACCTGAATAAATATTAATAAAAAAGAAGTTTCCCGATCACTTGGCCTCCCACCTTACTTACCCTGTGGGGTCCTCAGAGTTTGAAAGTTATTGCTCAAGAGTAATTATGCTATATACTTTTGACATTAAATATTCTCATGTCTCTATCTCACCTGCTAATAGCCTTCAAGTTTTCTGATTAAGAATGCTAAAAACTTCAAGAGAAAATCTAATCCAACCAACGATAAAGCTGATTTGAGTTACGGTTAGCAGTTCTCCTTTTCACATAATTTGCAAAATTACATTTTAAAATTAACCTGTAAATAAAGGGCAACTTACCAATATGCTGAATCAAACTTCATTTTGTAAATCAGTTGTTTCCCATTAAAACATTATAAAAGGTCTTATAGTTCTTATGCTGGTCTGTCAAAGCTACTTAACTTAAAATGTAACAATTATAGTACTACCCATCTTCTCTAATACTCTCTCTATGGAAAAAACATATCAAAATTTACCTGAACACAGTAGAAACACATCTTCCTCCAGTCCTAGCCAAGGTCACAGTGACAAGAAACCCCTTCTTTCCTCTTACCATAACAACGGGGAAGGAATAGAGAAAGAATACAAAGGGGGAAAGAGAGGCTCTAGAAGATCTGAGGATGCTGAGAAGGCAGAAAAGGATGGGCCTTCAAGAGCAAAAAGCTCCTGCCAACTCACACTTCTAAGTCTAGTGGGTCAGAGCCAAAGCTGAGGGTACCACACTCCCACTAGCAGGAGACGGAAAGCGAAGAAAGGCTTATCACTCCCCTCCTCCACTTCCGGGGGCTCCTTCATAGGTGGTTCCAAGCCAAGATTCTTTAAGTCAAATGTTTTTAGGTAAGAAACTCTTTTTTTTCCTTTAAACAGAACTTGTCTTCTTTTGTATTTGTTCATGAACCTAGTCAAGGCCACACGCATTTCTACACCCCGTGTATAAAAATAGAATATGCTAACCGAAAAAAGATGCATAGATACACAGTAAAACCTGCGAAAGCCGGAACCTGTGTAAGACGGAAAAGTATCAGAGAAGGAAAACTCAACTATTTTCCAATAAAAGGAATGACAGAAAGGTGCCAAGACCGTACCCTGTCAAAGGTGGAAAACTTGTGAGACCAGGAAAAACACAGCAGTTCTGTCGAGCTCCACCTCTCGCAGGTTTCACTATCCTTTCCACTTTGACAAAGAAGCCAACAGCAAGTAGCAAGTAATTTCTAATGCTACATAGTTAGATAGATCTACACGAAAGTACTTCCATGAATAAAAATAATTAATAAATTTCAATTTTGACTGAAAAATCTCTCACCCTATAACCCCCGGAAGGAAAAAAAGTCCAAACATACTTAAAATGGTAAGAACAAAACCTTTAAAGTAGATAATTAAATTATTCACTATAATTAAAAAATAAAAATAAGGCTTCACATAGATTATCAAGGAAACAAGTTTCTGGTTTTTTTTCCCAGCCTCAGAAAAACACTAAGGTATATTAGATTTAAAACATGGCTCTTGTACTCAACACAAAATGAAATTGAAGTCATTTTTATCCTCAGAAAAGAAGTGGTAACTCTCCTGCCCAGTTTTACTATTTCCTTGATCTCCTTTACCCTCACCATATCCTGTCAACACGTGGAAACAGTCATAGTCTAGCACTGCTGCTGCTTCTGTACCACTTTCTTCTTGCTTCTGCTGCACTACCTTAACCTTATTCCTCCTACATGAAGCAACATCCTTCACTAGGTGCCGAAGATGCCTTACTACAAGACACTGGAGGGAGATAATAAAACCACATTCCAAAGGAGATTTTGCAAACTAAGAATAAAGAAGTATACACCAGTAAACAGCTAAAATACAGTACTGGAGCCAAAGAAAAAATACATTTTCCCATCTCATTCCCTGAATCTCCTCAATCATCACAGAAAAATGGACTAAACTGAGCTTGCTGGTGAGGCTCAACGTACTGGTTCCTTTCCTCCCTCTTCAAACCCTCCTTTTCTATTCTAATACTCCCACGTCAAGCACACACATATGCGCGCGCACACAATTTCCTTTCCTCTCTCTCTCTAGACATTAGTATAAGGATGTGTATACACATAACATGCCATTAGAATTCACTATACACATTTTGTAGGAGCGCTGGTGACACAGTGGTTAAGCACTTGGCTGCTAACCAAAAGGCTGGCAGTTCAAATTCACCAGCTGCTCCATGATGTGGAGAAAGATGTGGCAGTTTGCTTCCGTAAAGATTTAGCCTTGGAAACCCTATGGGGCAGTTGTACTCTGTCCTATAGGGTAGCTATAAGTTGGAATCGACTCAAAAGCAATGGGTTTTATGCACATTTTTACATTTCGACAAAAGCCTCCTACACACCTTAAAGAAGACAACAGAATTTATAGCTTTAGACATTCTTAGAGGACTTCCAATCAAGATGGTATTGCAAATCTACATTTTAATTTACATTTTGAGGCTTCCTTTACATCAAACACAAAGCAATGAAAGATAAAAGAGAATATTAAGAGAGCTATTCTCAAAAATAAGATAATCAGAAACAGAGTATAAGCACAAGAGTTGGAGCTAAAGCTGCAAGTTACTCCTGGGTTTCAGGTCCAGAAGTGGGCAGAGAAGGCTCTTATCCCTAAGACTTATCAAGAACTTAAAATGCACCATTTGACACATGGTACTGGAAATAGGTAATTGCTTGAAACCAAGAGCTGGGGTGGGACTCCTAGCCCTTAAGTGAACTCTGAGGGCAAAAAACAAAGGTGCAACTTCAGCACCACCACTAAATACATGCCCTTTTCTCAATATGAAGAATGAAAAGAGTTTTTGACACTTCTGTATAAAGATTAGTTCACTCTTGGTTAGAAAAATTAGGAATAGAACATCTTTAGATAGAACACTAACTTCTACAACTAAAAATCAGTTAAAATACTAAAAATTAAACATCAAACTATATAAAATTTCATTCTTAAGTAAAGTATTGTAACAATATTTAATTGTAACCACACTTCCAGGTGAACCCTGCTAAAATGTCTAAATTTTCTTTTTGACAAAAACTCAGAAAATCTCCATTATTTCAAATACAAAACTGAAAAAATTTAAAATGATATTAGAAATCCTCACCTGTGTTTTGACTGTGATCTTTTCCTTCTAGAATGGGATTTTGAGCTAGACCTGGATTTTGAACGAGTGTGGGAACGAGATCGACCGCCTTTTCTTTCATTGCTCTTTCCAGACTCTGGGAGGAAAAAACCACTTTGCAGTGTCAGCTCAGAACAATTAAAGATCCCAGTTAATAATCAGGCACAAGTGGAATGTACCACATATAGTGCAAGGGGCCTACTCTCTGTACATCCTCCTCCTGTGCAATTATCCTTCAGAAACATCCAAGAAAGTCATTGCATAAACTCGTTGAGTGCAGCCACCCTGCAGCAGTACATATAAACCACATGATTATAAACAGCTGTTCGTAATATTTTGTTGCTGCCATAATGTACGATTATAACATGTCTGTAATTCCTATGACAGAGATTTTAAGTCCTTTTCTCATTTATTTTGCTAGAGTTGAAGCATGAGTGTTAAAGTAAAAATTTGCTCAAATGTGTAAACCACCTGGACGTTTTTAGATTTTTAAATTATTTTGGTTAGCAACACAAAAGTTTGATTAAGTGCTCCCTTATCTTGCTAAAACAGAATACCTTTTTTTTTTTTCCTATAAATCATGGGCTCTGTTTTTAAAATTAAAGCTTTGAAGGAAAGTGGAATCTGCTTAGCCATAATATTTTAAGTATATTTACTTTTTCAGCTTCACAATAACATTTATGTTTTCCTTCAAGCAAATTAGTTTTGAGAACTGATTTCGCTATTAAAATATAAAGAGCTGATTAATTCAGGCTACAGTGCCTCAATCCAGTATAATGGAAAAATATAATGTTCTTTGACATGAATAAGTCACTTACTCTTTCTTGAGTTTCAGTCTTCTTTGTAAATGAAGGGACTGAACAAAATAATTTCTAAAATTCCTTCCAGTTCTAAGCCTCTATAATCTTTAACCTAAGACCTATGTAACAACTTATGGCCTTACCTGGTTCAATAGCTGCTGAGATAAATGACTGAGCCTCTCGTACTCGCTTCATAACTTCTTCTAACTCCTTAGCTGCAGCCTGAGGTGTCATCTCAGGGGGTTTTACTATTGCATTGTTGGAGTGATTTATTCTAAATTAAAAATATTAGCATATCACAAATACACACCATATTTTACAAAACATGAAACAATCTAATGTTTACATGATATGCACATTTATAAATCTGAGGATATCTTGCAAGAACATTAAATAAAGAATAGCCAAAAACAACTCCAAAACCATTATTAAGCACTCATCCCCACCTCCCACCATCAATTATTAACAAAGCCAAAAGCAAAGGGAAAAAAAGAAAAAGTGAACCTTGGATGACTTCTTTAACAACTCAAATAGACCAAAGCAAGTATTTTTCCACGTATCTATAATAAATTAAAATCCTGACACCAATATTAAAGTGAATTATTTCTATTCCTAGATTATAAGATTTTGTTGACAGTATCTGAACCTTGGGATGAAGGGGAAGCTATATATTATGTGCACCATTTTAATTAACCCTGGACCACAGCTGAGTTAGACACAGCTTTGAATGAGGAAGGCAGCTGATAAAACTCTTACCACACTAGGCAAGAGCAGGTTCTCTGATGCACTTAAGTAAATTTGGTGCGTCTAGCTTTACCCTTCCTACATCCATTAAGAACAGTTATTTATCCTGTAATACCATAATCCTGATCAAACTATGTAACTAAGGCAATTATCTCTATGAAATTCAGATAAAACTATATTTGCCTCAATAATCTAAAAGAAAAATAATTTCTAGTGTTGAGTATCTGGAAGGCTACATAAACTTTTCATTTTGCAAACAAGAATGTGAGCACACCTTAAAACTCAAAATGTTCGATTTAAAACACTTACGTGTACTTAGTATTATTTTCTTCCTGGAGTTTTGAATTTACCAAAGTTCTTATGATTCTAATTCAACCCACATGTTAAATGGTCCGTTAGCCTAAAGTCATGATACAAAACCAACCTGACTTGTTATAGCTTATGGAAGTATACCTACAATTGTTATGTAGAGTATATAAATGACATGTTAAGATTAAATTAGACCTTATAAAAAGAGAAAACAAGACAAATGTCTTCCAATACAACTTTAGGAATTTAAAGGCTAAAACAGTAAGCATCTCATGCACTTCATTTATACTTAACACAAAGTCTTCCTTTCCACAAATTGCCAATTACTATTAAAAAGGAAAAAAGAAAAAAAAGCCTTAATTACATCAAAATTACTTAAAATTTTTCAAAACAATTAAAATTTCTTTGTTTAGGGTTTCTTACTTCAGTGGCCTGTCTCCAAACATAACTCCATTAAAAGCAAGGGCCCTTGGTACAGAATTTTGGTCTGCAAATTCCACAAAAGCAAACCGAGTTGGCTGAGTCTCATCACCTGCCATCCGTACAAACTTCACTTCTCCAACTTGTTTAAAAAATTCAAGTAGTTGATCAGCTGTCGTTGTCTGAGAAAACAAAGTGACACTTAAACTATATTCTTTTAAAAAATCAGGTAAATGTTACTTTAGCAACCGATAAGATTTTTAAGAGGAAAAAACAATGAGCTACTACCACTCAGTTTCTTCTTAGTTACCTGAGAATTCAAATTTCCAACATAGACTGTTCTCCTAATTTCATCAATTTTGGAAGGATCCACATTTCCCATAAGTGGTGGCTGTGGTATCTCTCCAAGTGTTGTAATGTTGGGGTCTAGTGCTGCTGCTGGTATAGCTCCCAAACTGCTAAGTGAAACACCAAGCTATTAAAAAAAAAAAGTCCCTAAAATTT